CTTTTACTTTGTAGATTATGCAACTTTTTTGACATGTTGTTTGCATGCGATAATTATTTACATTTTTTAGTATTTTGATGCGTGCGTTTGTTAATACATACGTATGTTGCAGTAATTTCAATAAATCTGGATTTACTTTGATTGATTCGTGTACTATAAATTGCAGTACACAGGTAGCATTAGTTTTATATTGTCGAGCGCTCGCAGCAACGTTTTAAATTTCGATCGACGTCTACGCCGGGCGACGCGGTGCGCGAGCTGTGCACGGATCAGCTGATAATCAGCTGTTCGGTCCGTTTCGTGGTTAGGCGGCATCCTTCGCTCTTTGTTCGCCGGGTGCTCGGCAGACTGACTGTCGGGCAAACCCCTCCAACGCGAACAGCCGGCATTCACGCCGAGCAACGCAACCATTCCATGTGTTACAGTAGAGAGACAGAGAGAAACATAACAGTGCAAGCCGTGCACCATATCGTATACGTTCTACATCTCTCTCTAGCTCGTGCGCGTTCGTTCGCAATCGTTCAACGGTCGGCGATCCGCACACTTCGTAGGTGCGCACGAGCACGAAAGCCGGTTGGAAGTTTTCTGGCTCGCGTCAGTCGTCAGTTTATTGCCGGTGGTGGCGACGAGTAGAAGTCGTCGTGTAAAATAACGAAAGAAAAAAACTCCGGCTCCGTTCGCCGGTTACTTTCAGAAAGAAACATCGCGAATATCAACGCTCTAGCCGGAAAACGGAAAGTTATTATTCAAAAGTATAGAAATCTTAAATTATGAAATTTCGTTAAATTTAACAAAGCAAAAAATATGATAACAAATTTACGCAAACTTATATTATTAGTACATTGAATTATGAATGAATTAATTATTACTAAATGATGAGAATAAATTGTGATACATATTTAATAATCTAATTACCTACATAAAAAATAATTAGTTGCAAATTGTTTTTTAAGTCAAAATACCTTGTCGGTACAAAGCGATCGAGAACACAAGCAACAACCGCGATATCTAAATCTAAATTATAAAAAGATTTATCTAAACTAAACGTTATTACAAAATTAGTGGCCATCGTCGTGTCGACGTTTAATAAAATCGATTAAAACAAGTCTTAGCTAATATTTAGCTGTAGTGATTTCTGTCTGCGATATTCCTGCGTCGAAGAGCACGCAACTTTCAATGATTTCTCATCGGTCTCTTCATAAGTTATCTGGTAAGTCACATGTTTAATAATCGAATCTCAAGGTTAACGTAATGTCGGTCGGTGACAATATTGAATGATTTTATATTAATTATTCGCTCGCGTTTGCGGTTAACCTGCGAACAAAGAGTTTCGGTTTCCATTTAAAACACTTACGATTTCGTTATTGATCCAGCGCGTGGAATTTCGCCGGTCGTCGCTGCCGCCGCCACCGCTTCGGGCGCGTACGTTTCACGCCGGCTGGTGGCCGGTACGGTCGGCGGTGCGCCGGTTGCGTTGGGGTAGGTCGCGCCGCCGTCGCCGTCATCGTCGGCGGCGGTGTGTGCGAATGCGACTGCACGCCCTCCTGCCGGCGCGGTCTTTAAATAATTCAGTCACGTACGGACCGGCAAATCCGCCGCCGCCGATGCGAAAAACCTGCAGCATTCTATCACACAAAGAATGCAAATGATTGTGCGCTCAATTATGCTCAAAATTCGTTTGATTGAAATTATGAACACTTTCGTTTTTTACATTTTTATTATTTTTTTCTAAATTTTTTGCATCTATAAATTAGAAAAGTTTTTCGCTCTCGGGTGCTTCATATCATATTTAAAGTTTTAATTTATGACCACCATCGCATTGTTTTATACTTTTCCTGTTTCGCAATGATGCAAACGCGACGTCTACCCATTGTTCTTAATCCTTTTTTCGACTTTAAACACGCGCGGCGCTCTTTGCCAAATTCACGATATAAATCTGCGTCGCATCGTCGGCGCCGCCTAAAGTTATAAAACTGATGCGTTCGCGGTTTGTGGGAGATGAAGAATCGCGCTGGTCGTTTTCCGGGGCAACGCAACTGTGCACATTCGCTTGACGCTTTAATAGCTGGCGGTTATAATCGAAACCCGACCCTTGCACATAAATTCATCGCGTGTGGATTTTTCCTTCTAGACACCGCATTACACTCAATTGGGCGATTACACACATGTTAAGGGAATGCAGGCATTGTTTTTCATTGTTAGCAATTACTCGAAAACTATTATTGCTATGATACTTTCAGAAATTTAATTCTGAATTAAATCCACTTTTTGTAGATTTAAAATTGTTGTTTTACGTTGAGTGGTTTTAATTATTATCTAATATAATATGACGTACAGCTTTGATCCAATAAGACACGAAAATAATTATAAAAAGTATAGATACGCTTTGTCATGGGAGAATACCGAACCACGCGCATAATATAATCCAATTAATGTAAAATTAAGTTAACTGGGTAAAAAATAATGAAGGGAACGCTAATTCCGTCTGTCGCTCAATTTATAGCAGAAGCTGGGAACTTTTTCTGTATTCTCTTTTTGAAATTTTCACTGCGTGCACACTGTATCCTGTGTCCGCTCTGTGTTTATGTATGCGTGTTGGGTGGAGTAAATATTTAAGTTATAATCTGAAACGCGCCCGAACGATTTAATTTCGTCGGGGCACACACAGATCAAACAGATTTTTTTAACGAGCAAACTCGCTCGCGGAGGGCAAACTCTAAACCTATAATGGCCTCATAATAGTTGGCATTTGTTTTGGACGAGCAGCTATTTGTAGCTTCACTGGCGTGGGGCTTTTTTAATATTTTCACCAACACGTATCGGTAATGAACGGGTTGTAAAGTTGGAAAATTTGTTTTACAACTCGACCGTCAGTCAGACCATAAATATAAAAGTCATGTAAATATTTAATCCGAAATACAGAAGAAGAAAAAAATCACAAAAATGAGCCCTTATTATTTTAAACTCTACTTCTCGTTCCTGAAAGTAATGTAAAATTTATTTTACGGTGGCAATGTCCGGAAAATGCTTGAAATTTCTCATCATTATTTTGTGATGAGAATACTTTATGTATTTCTACTTTTTAATTTATAACTTAAAAATGTGTAGGTACCTTGCTTCTCAATAGCTGTTTCGTGTGTATACAAAAATTCTCAGCGTCGTTTGAAGATTTTTCCGTGTAAATATTTGGTTTTTAATTATCCTCGAGCATGTTCGCTGCCAACACAATGTAGGCCCGCATCGCGACGAATAAAAAAAATGAAATATTTAATGAAAATGAAATGAAAAAAAAAAGTTTCATTTTACTAGTATAGGTCTTCAATTTTGGTTGATTGTTACATGCTTGCATGATTTTCTCCAGTTTGCGCTTTAGTGTATAAATTAATACTAATTATTTCTCCGGACTATCGCCGTAATGTATTCTGCACTAATGGAACAAATCATTTGGCGGTGGCGGCGGCGGCATGCAATTAAAAATGGTTTTTCGTTTTGGTGCTGTAGGTAATTTTATTCCGGTTGCCAACCAACCAACCTCAACCTTACCAAACTTTGCTCGCGTCCGTAATTAGTGCCGAGTATTTTCTGTACACTCGAAACATATTTTAAACCTTTCCCAACGCGTTCGTTGTTAACACAGTGCTAAAAATTAAAAGTGGAGTTGCTTGAATAAATGTATAAATGTTATGCTGGTTTAGCAAATGCATAATATCAGTCAGCAGATTTTAATGTCGGAGCCAAAAAGGAGAAACAGCGCAATATTCATTGCGCGTCAATTATTCGAGGCGCAAGGCAAGCTGCACAGCAGCAGCAGCACACGCGTTATGAATTATTATTGGACGTCATCCAAGAGCAAAACTTCAATGTGTTGTGTATCGCGGGTGCGGCGCATTAAGCGCATGATTTCGGTGCAACGTTTTTGGATGTTTTTCTTCGCGTCGAATGTTTGCTCCGACGTTTTCCCAAATTGCTTTTTCGCCTCGGCGCGCAATTGCGGGCCAAAAATACACCGCACCGTTGCATGCAGCAACCGCGATCGGTTATTCATAAATTTAATGGTTTTTAATGGCGGAACTAATGAGCTAGCATCGATCAATCGCCGCACTTGTAATTATTAGTTTTAATTAAAATTTCATGCTGCCATCTCTCACCTTGAAATCAGCCAACATTTTTTTGTATATTACCAATTGGATTCTTTGTTCTGTCCAAAGGTACAAAAAAAACAAAACGTGCATACATCATCTCTAATTATATCCCACTTGGGAAGGAACACGACACAAAGCCCCGGTGTGGTACTGCTGGTACTCTGGCTTACCGTATTTGCTTTTAGCGCAGGAAATATTTTATTTACTCGAACGCGGTCAGCTGTAATTCCAGACTCGCGGCTCAACTCTTGCGCCCCTTGGTACACACTCGCGCACACGCTCACAATGCAAATAAATTACGCGTCTAATGTGTTTTTGGCACAATGAAAGACATTTATGTCACACGCATGTCTTCTCCGCATTCACCACTTATCCGTATCAGTTGGCCAGGCAGTCGGGCAGCTGATGCGGTCTCATCAGCCGTCCGTCACACCGTACTTTTACTGCAAGTGGTGTAAACGGAATAAAACGCGTTTGCATTAAGTGCGGTAGTTTACGGCGTGTGTACTTTCATTATCTTGATGTGGGGTATTTAAGCAGCTGGTTTGCACGAGCTGCGTACGAATTATGTGTGTGAGTGTGTATATTCATTTATTCAGCAAAATTATACACTCTGTATGTCGAGCATGGGACGAATTTATTGTGAAGGGCTCTTCATGCCCACACCAAGTGTGTCACGCATCAAATTTGTGATGTTGCAAGTCATCCAATAAGTATAATAAATGATTGAACGTTTTATTCGGCTACAGCTTGAAGCAAACGCGACGAAAGTTCTTTTATTCTGAATTTTTTTGAAGAATAATAGTAGTTACTCTGAATTTGCACGAATGCGATTTTATGAATCTTTTAACAATGATATTTCTCTAGAGATGAAATATTCTTTATTTTTAAACACATCGTATACTTCTTGTTGGTAGTGGTTGGATATAGGGTTGGAATGTGTTTGTGTATAATGGTCGCTCGCATGGATGATTGTTGCTAAGCCAGCACAAAGGTCTCGCTTGCGACTCTCGCATAGAGTAGGTACGGTACTTACTTACATGTGATATTTATATGCAATTCCGGAACGCGGTCGGCTGCAAACATGAAAAGCGCTGACTGATACTTTCGGCACCCTGGGGTGTGTATATATGTGTGACTGTGTGCGCATTTACCCTTCTTCGCTCCGCGTGGCAGCGTGTCATTATGCGCTCGTTCCATTACGCCAAGAATTATGCAATGCTTACTTCAATACTTCTTTTCAACCTCGCTCCCTATCATCTCCCCGGGTCTCCCTTGGCACTTCATATGCAATTTCATTTTCATCTTTTTTAGCGCTGCCAGCTCAGGAGTGAAGTGGATTTCCACTTGCACAGCAGTTGCACAAAGCAAAATGCATGCGACTTTTACATTTGCTACTGCTTACTACTTACGCTTATTACACGCATTGTATCAACAGAAGCCAGTCGGAGTTAAGTATAGGCCCGTTATTCGAATTCGTCTTGCGTCTCGTTGAAATAGCTGGTTTGTTTTTCTACTGTGTAAGATTCTTGTCGTTGACTGTAGAAGTCTTATTCCCAACAACAGCTTTTTACTCGACTCTCGTCTAGCTGGCTATGGTGCGCACACTTTTGTAGAAACTGGAAATGCAAGAAAGACTAGATTGGTTAGGAGAGTAGAAGATCCGCGCGCCGATGAGATATCGAAGGGGCGCACAACGCTCTCTCGCTTCTCGCCGACCAGCATTGATTTCAATAATGCTCACGTTTCCTTTTCGGTACAATAGGTTCTCGAAGTGCTCCTCTTCCTTACGAACGAGCTGCTCACTTTCGGTCCAACTCCCTGCACGCACACTTTCTTGATATACACACCTAGGGGGTCCTAGAGAATAATAAAGATGTAAAGTAAGTCGGTGCTAATGCAAATAGGAAATCGGGAGAGGTTCAATGACATCTTTTTCATGCATCGCATAAACGAATTCGATTAAATCTCTGCTCGGCACGGATTTGCATAATACTCAATTTAATCCATTCAAATCATACTTAAATTTGATTGCTAATGCGAATGACGGTCAAAACATTGCAGTGTTTATATGGTTGTAGCTATTTATAGCAACAAGTTGAAAACTACGCATGTGTTCATATTGCAATTGTGTTTAGTTGTACACCTAACACTGCGCACTTGCATTCAACGAGAAAAATGTTAAATATGCTTATACTCGTACACGTGTAAGTTATTGAATTATTGAATAGTAATAACCAATAAGAAAATCATATTTAAAGTTTACGTCGTCGGCGCCGCACATTAACGTCAACATAAACAATTCCCGGTGGATATTTTTACAAACGAGGGCGCCGCCGGCGTATGTCACCACACGCACGTGCCAATCACAGCGAATGTTTATTAGTTCTTAACCTACATTAACGTTGCTTTTGCGATTTGCATTACAGATGCATTTCGCAATTGCAGCGCGCGTATTGACATATATGTACGTGCAGCGCATTCACAAGTCGTACTCTTACTCGAAATGAGGCCGTCGGGTGCGCTATCCTAGGTGTCGGGGTGTAATAAAACTCGATTAGTTTTTGGTCGGCACTCAACGATATTGCAAATCTCAATCAATTTCGCATCGATTGGCGCGCACCAGGTCTACCGCTGCGATGTGTCATCGAATCGGGAGTGCGCGCGCGTTGGTGTGCATACCGTTTTCACGCGAATTACGGCATTAGTCATCTGTGTTATCAGCGTCCGCCGATAAATATTAATAAATCGAATTGAGCGCGGCATGTATGTGCGATAGTGTGGGCAGGGAACAACGCACAAAAAAAAAAAACTTGGACACTTCGTGCTGGAAAAGTTTCATTTGTGGCGATGCTTTTCGTTTAAAAACAGCGTAAAGTGTCGTCGCAAGTCGAAAGGGTCAAAAGTGCAAGGAACTACGTTTCGAGGCGCTACAGTCGAGGCGTCGTAACACTTCGTGCACGGTGCAAGCGTAACATCGTCACTGCTCCAAGAACTTTGTTCTTTTTCATCGTCTCTGACCGTCTACGAGCTAAACTCGCATAGTTTAATTAGGCATCATCAGAACGAATGTAGGTTTTAACCCAGTAAATAAAATGTTAACCTACAGGGCGTTTTAAAAATTTACTAAACTGTTAAAAATCAGTTCTTCAATGCATTCAAAATCTAAAGCAGACTTTTTTGAGTGACGGAGCTTAGAAAAAAATATTCCCACTGAGCGGCATATCGAGTTTATACGAGTTTCCTTGGTGAAATTGAACCGAGCGAAGAAATAAAATAAAATACAACATATCAACATGATTCACCGAATGATGGCACCGCGCCGCGCGTACGAAAATAACGCGAGGTGGGGTCCACCGCCAGAAAAGTTTGTCTTGAGGTTCCCGAGGGAATTTCACCTTATATTGGTTGTGTGCGCTATCGTTCCCCGTCGTTGCGGCCCAATCCCACGTATCGCATATCGCGCGAATGTAAGCGGCGCGGAACAAAAGGCCAATCGAATTGCGGCGAGATGAATAAGTAGTTATTTTTTCTTATCCGTCATGTGGTGGAACTTTTAGGACCGGAACAATAATATCATCTATCAGTTCCATTCGCTCCACATACCTCCTTGCGTTTTTTTTTTTCGTTGATTGTGCCTGGTTTGGCGTCGGAGTGGATGTGGCTTTTCTTGCGATCTTATTTGCGGTTGCCCCTTGAACTCTTGCACAACTGATACCAACCTATATATACCTAGCTTTTTTGTTTCGCGTCGAAATACAAGCTGGTTTCGAATACAATGAAAATGTTTGCGAAGTTTTTGTGTGTTAATGTGTTTGTGTTATTGTTGCAGGTCTGCGATAAAAGTGACTACGGCGTCCGAGTGCTAGCGAAGCTTGCGAATTATCAGGTGTATACGACGCTGAACGCGAAGAACCAATTTCGCGCGCCCACCGAGTGGGGTATATGTCTTCGACCCGCCGGTCTGGGTTCCGACGACTTCGACAATCCGGGTTTCCTTTGTCTCGCTTGTGACTCGGAAAAGGCCCGCTCCTGTTGGCTGACAGCCATGAGGCTCGCTAAGGTAAGCAACGCCACCTATACTTATATTCACTCCCAACCTTCATATCCTACCCTCTTACGTTTTGCGTCAATTCTGTTTTCTTACGCTGCGTTGCTCATCTCGCCGGGCGTCGTCTAATAACTTCGCTCGTCCGCATCTAATATCTTCCACGGCGACCCCGTGATGATGATTAATCCAGCTCATCGTCTCCTGCATATCATCCCATGCATAATCTTGCCTCACACACCATCCTGAGGCAGGAGGCAATGCATGTCTTCTCTAGCGTCAGCAATGAGGGAGGGCTTGCAGCATCGTCGGCAATCTACGCTCCCACGACGACACGGAACGCGATTAGTTCCGTTCGTCTCCCATTTTCCCTTTTGCTTCCTGTGGGCACGCTCCGGCGTTCGCATAGCAGCGCACCGAGTCTTTACGTCCAATAAAGTAAGAGTCGTTCTTGCGCCTGCAAGCGGGTCCTGGTATCGCACCCGCGACTCGTGGCAGTAAGCCGCCGTAAACCTTTTCGCATAAAACCGTTTCGTCAAGAGTTATTTGGTTTGGTCGATATACCAACATTGTCGTCCAGATGTATTCTACCACACTGAACTGTTCAACGAATTGCATTCAGAGAGGGTCACTCAATTTAAAATTGATTAAAAATACATTGTTTATTGGAATTTCGTTAAACATTCGGTATATACTCAAAGGGAAATTTCCGCAATTTAATCTTAATTTAAATCTCTGGTGCGTCCCCGCTTCAAACACGCAAGGGCGGACAATGGCCAAAAATTCACGCACGAACATCTTTATAAGCTACTGAAAACGCACCAAAATCCAAGGGCGTAAAAAATGGTATCGGTGCCGACGATTTTATTCCTACTCGCGCAGAGCAAAAAAGATAAATTTGCAATAAAACGCCTGCCTGAATCAAACTTAAGTTGTTTCGGGTAGCGTTTGTAATAAAATCGGGGAGCAATAGCCTTCCGGCAGTAGCAACCGCTGGCAGAAGTAATAGGAAAACCGGGCCGTTACAATAGGCCATCACGGGATAACAATAATCATTATAGTCACGGAATTATCGTTTTCGGCGAGTCGGAAATCGTAAAATATGCTTTTAAACGCGCTGGACCTCTTTATTACTATGTTTCTCATTAATTATTTATGCGCATATCGCAAGCCTCCACTCGAATTTCATTGAGGTACATTTGTAATTAAAATAAGTCGGTAGAATTATTACATTAGCACATGACAAGTCCTACAGTTCACGCACCTTTATTTACTGCATATTGAAGTTAAGTGTGTTTTTGAAAATGTATACCTAGGTAAATGCCATGTACTTTGATGCTGTACCGCAAAACAAACTCATCATTTATCTATTCCTCCCACTAGGTGTCGGGATTATTAGGGGTTTAGTTTATCTGGCGTGTGTGTAAAATACGACGTGTAATCATCATTCATATTTAATAATGTTGTAATATTTTGATATGCGTCTCGCGGATTACTACCACAGGGTGGATTGTTATCAACATGCTTTGATCGTTTTTATGTGCTAAGCCAGCGCTTAGCTATGATTTCGTAATAATCAAGGCGTATTACTTTAATAAACAATTCATGCCATAAAACCATGTACTCACATTAAGTGAACATGTTATTTGAGTTCAAGGAACGCGCATTAAGCACCTTACTATATTTTTTTCTTTTATTGTATTTTTAGAAAATTAATTACACGAAGATATTGGATATTTTCAGAAAATCCTTTACTTTCCAGAGCTTAGATTTAGTGGGTCAGTCAATTTGTTACCTTCTGGAAAATTGCGCGAGTTTATGTATGGTGTGTAAAAAGCGTGCCGCGTGCACGTACGTCATTAGCGCGCACAGCATCCGAACGACTAGCGACAGCTCGCGATGATGGCGAAGTGACAATGCATGCGCATAAAGCTTTCACCTTGCCTTGCGGCTCGCGAAAGACGCGTGCGACGACGTGCCGAGCGCGTCGGTCGAGGTTTGCGTGATTTTATTGCCACACAATATGTATGCTAACCGCTGGCGACGTTGTCGTGTATTTGTTGCTTCGAACGAGCGAACGAAATGGAATAATAACGAGAGCGTTGTGTTTGATGTGTGCGATGGTGTCGCAACAATATTTGCCGAGAGAAAACACGGAAAGAGACAAAGCCTTGTGATAACGATTTTACAAGTACTACGAGATTAAGGAAAGTGTTCCTTCTTCAACTTATAATATATCGTTCTTTTTTTTCATGTAATGGAATATTAGATAAGTTTATATTTAAGATAGTTGCTTTATATGAAAAGGAGGGAAAGGGAGGTTTGCTTTGTAGATCAATACCAGCGAGCTAAACTCTTCGGTCGACGTTTGGTGGGTTACTTGGAAGTGGCGAACTTACGGATTTTAGCACTTCTGAGTATTCCGAGTATCCGCATGTCCGACCGCTGCGTGCGCGAGACACCTATTCACGAGCAGTCGAGCAGTTTTCCTGCCTCGCCCCCTTGTTTCCGCCCGGTATACCTTCGCTTTTAATATCAGCTCCGCGCTTCCACCATCTCCCCCTGCTCGTACCTGCTAGTCCCTGCTTCCTATTCCCTAATCCTCTAATCTCCAATATGTGTCTTAAGTGGTTCTGTTTATATTCTTCCCTTTGAAACTCTCGCTGCTCTCAACTCGCGTAATCTTCGTAAATCCTCAAAAATGTTCTAATAATATCTGAAATGCGCGCTGCTTTCATCCCGACGAATCTTAATGATTTTCGCATTTCACATTTTTCGTTTGCTCACGCGTCGAGATGGCACATCTTAACAAAACAAAAGATATCTTATTTTGTTATGCTAATCATAAGCATTTCATAAGACACCGTGCTGTGTGTGTGCTGTGGTTGTGTGCATTGCGCGTTTGTTCTGCTAGTGAGCGAGAGCTCTTTTCGCCCCGGCGAAAAACATTTGTCTTTCATTAAATTTGCTCGTTTGGGACGACGCGAAGCAGAACGGCCCCGGTGCCGGGTGCCTGCCCGCACTAACGGATGTCTTTTTGTCTGGGGGAGGTCGCGCACGCAGCAGGCGAAAGAAAGCGCGACGAGCGTTTATAAATTATGCGACATTTATCAGCCCGGCTTGGATTTCTCCGTGTACGCAAACGGTACCTTTCTTTGCTGTCGGTAACAGGACGACAATAATGTAACGGCGTTGGGATTTCTTTTCGTGCGCAATTTCTGCCTCCCTCGTGTAATATTAGCTTTAATTTCAATTTATTTTCTACACACAATCCACATAACTTTCTGGATAGAGGGTTGATGAGTAATATTACAAGCTGACACATTGAATAATTAATTCCAGATGAGCAGGTGGACGAAAAAAAGTCTTACAATGGACTATGACCCTAAATGAATAAATATAAAAATAAATTGACGTTGGTTAATTTTGACATATTTGTTGAAATTTAAGGAAAGGTCAAAAAGTGATAAAAAATATGAAGAAATTGCAAAGAAAAAGTTGGGGCAACAATTTTGTTTCTCCATACAAACTGATGGCCTATACATATAAAAGGAATTCCTTAATCAATTTCTTTACTCGTAGGCTTATTTTATGTAATTAAAAATGATCTTACAGATTTACGCGGCCAAAAAACTAACTTTTGTATATATTATTGATGTTAATATTATTACAAACAGAAAAACAGTTACATTCAAGATTATAATAAAAGCACGTACCTTCCTGTGATTGAAGCGTGTGCGCACCAGCCTTATCTAAAACGTTGTCCTCGTAGCCAGGACGTGTTTAGAATTAGATAGGATTCTATTTAGCCAGCGCGCACGTTGCGTGCGTGTTCGATTTAAACGCCTCGACGTAGATCGTGCTGTTCGTCTCTTTGTGCGTGAGCTAACAAAATTCCGAATATCTAACGGCCTGTAACACTATAAAACAATACAACAACAAACGATTGTTTCACGGCTTTTTGTGTTTGATTTAATTCGCTTCTTGATTGCCGACCAGTGTGTTGCACACACACTGACGCAGCGCCTTAGTTGGCTTTTATTATTTTCGTAATCGCTATGAAATTCCAATGGGTTCTATGAATTTTGTTCAGAGTTTTGTTAAGGTTTCGCTTCTTTAATCGTCTCGCGCCTAAGCAGTTATAGCGTTTCGACAAATCGCTTACAATAAAACACGCCGTGATCATTAATTAAATCGCGTAATTAGTGGATGTGAACGTTAGACAATGTTTACAGGATGATACAGATACTCTCTTAAATTGTAATTCTATTCCAGGAAGTATTCGTGTGATGTCTGAATGCCAGCTCAGTATAATACAGTTTAAACTCGTTAAATTCGTCATTATCAACTAAGTGAATATAATTAATTCGTTGCGCAATGTGTATGCTTCCATCTGGCTAGGTAGATGCGTGTTTACATGTTCTCTAGGTTTACTAAACTGTTGAATATTCAAATTGTGCAACTTCACAGTGTCGGGTATAGGCAGACCTAAATAGCGAATACTGCACGAAGGTTAATTTATAAATCCGAGCTAGTTCGGTACGCGCGCTGGCCGTGAATCAGATCAGAGATGCGGCCTGTCGGAATTTTATTTTTCATTATCCTTGACTCGACTGGCGCATGGCAGTGCCACGAGCAAACGCACAACACTCACGGACGGTTTTTGTGTGTACTCCACTGGTATTTGACACGTTTTATTTTTATTCTGAATGCACGTCCATCCACGAAGTGCGTGCGGCAGACATTTTTTTTTTTTTTTGATTTATTAATACCTTCATACAAGTCATGCGGTGTGCTGTGTGATGGCTACTGCTGTGCACACCAAGCATGTCCACACTAAATAAGTCTGCAAGTTGTTAATAATTCAATGAAACCGCTGTTATATTAATTTGTTCCATGTTACTATGTTGCAGTACGGCAAACAATTGCGTGAGAACTACAGGGCGTTCAAGAACAAGCAGTCCGAATCCATCAACCCCAACTATAGTAGTTACACAGTACCAAATGTAAGTTTTTTGAGATGATCTATTATCTATTTCATATCATATTATCGTCAGTGTGAATATGATGACAAGCATGAAAATCACGCGTGATTTGCAACACAATGCAGCCTTTAAAAAAATTAGGGTCATCACAAACGTGTTGGTGATTATAGCGAGCGCAAAAATTGAATTTGTAAGAATGTAAGTTTTTATCATCGGTCATATATCATGCGGGCGAGCGTTGCATCCGCATCTCAGATGAAAACTGTTAAAGGGTGACGTCTCGTCTAGATGTTCCTATTTTGATAAAGTATGATTGATGTTGGCACTGAAAACGGGCATGCGAAAAGGTTTTGGATGTAGCTGCAACGATGCATACACTGGAAGGGAAAAAAGTATCCATCTCTCTCTGACTGTTGTATCTTTGACTTGAATCCTGGCTTTTGTGCCCTTTTTTTATGACGTTTTGAACAACGCATGTAATAATTTATCATAAATAAGATAATTACGTGTGTGGCGTATTCCCTAAACGTCTTCGAACTGTAAGCGCGTTATTAATGATCGCTGTAATTATTTGTCGAAGCCCAAATTTTATTCGTTTGAGCATCACAATACGTGGCAAAAATACGATTGTGATTAATTATAGTTTACAAATGTGCACATTTTTTCAGTTGAGTCTTATTTTAAGGCTTTTATTGAAGATCAAAGTTCATAAAAATCTGTTTGCAACGTTTTATTGCTCGTCAGCCGTGAAGTTTTATTTTCGGAGATTATTTTTACAGAGCTACTTTACGATTGGTAATTTAGCCATAAACGCAATGTGTGTTTTGTTGAGCTTCTTGTTTTATTTCTTTGCCAAATATTTAAAATATTCGGTTGTGAAAGCTGTCCTGTTGTGCGAGTGACAAATGGTAAGGTGGTGTTTGGTGTCCAAGGGAAAACCTTTCTGTTGAACGAAATTCTGCCATGTCAGCGCGGATCGTTAGTTTTAATGATATACAAATATCGGACAAATAGTCGTCCTTCTTGTGAACTGTAGGGGTTGTACAAAACGCGCGCAACTTGCTTGCTGATGCTATTTGACCGATAACAAACGGCACCAGTACGCCGAAACGTTCTTCTTTTGCGGACGAATTCAATTGTGCATGCATAAAACGCAATCCCCCAAAGAGTTGCGCATAAATGCCCCGTGCATCAGCCGGGGCCCGGATTTGCGTTTGCTGCTACCGAATTGCCAGTATGGTGTGGTGTATGTGTATATATACGTATTGTACTGCTTTCACAATTTGGATGCAAATAATTTCCATTTTGCTCCAAACGGACGCAGCATATGCCACGTAAAACTTCCGAATTTCCATCCGACGCTGTACGCTCGAGGAATAAATGTAGAACACACAACCAATTGCAACCAAAAGGCGCACATGGAACAGCTGGAGGTTCAACTTCTAACAGCTGATCAATTCTGCTGTCGCACGGTGTATAATGTCTCGTGAGGCTACACAAAGTTGCCATGAATGAAAAAGTCGGCAGCGGTGCGCACAGCTGATTTTGTAATTATATAATAATAGATTCTGTGCAGTTGCTATTTCCGTCGCGGTGGAAATATATAACCGGCGACGTGTACGATGGTGGTGGCAAGGTGTAAGTACACACACTGGGCGTTGAGGTGTACTCTCTGAAAGTATTATAAATTAGTCAACAGTTTCCGCTCTAGAGCTTTTTTATTACCGCAGGAAACGTGTGGTCGCTTGAAGTACATTTTTTTTGTAAGTACGTTTTTATTTATTTTTTTCAACCCCCCGGGGTCAACAAATCCCGGTAACTTTTTTTAGCATCAATAGGTATAAAGAAAGAAATAATGAAAAGAAAACATGTGGAGGCAAGAAATATCAATTCATTGTGTCCGGCCTGACCCTTCCGCACGGCTTGTCATTGCGTCATTCATGGTATGTCCCTAAGGAGTTATGAGGCAGTCATTAAATTGATGTTAGTTGTCCGTTGTCGAAGCGATTGTGATCCGAGTACAATTTATTGCGTGGGCGAACGATAATTACCACTCAATTATTAACGAACATTGGATATGTATGTGTTGTGAGACTTGTGACAAAATCAATGCGAGGTCAGGCGATTAGAAATTATGAACATGATATCATGTTTAATAAAGTTTTTATAGATTTTTAGAAATTTCTATGATAGTTGTATTTTTAATGCATTATATTTCTTTAGTGAAGTCTGCTTTTGTATTGCTTTCTTTACGACATCTGGGAGTAGATATATCCGTTTTTGTGACATACGTCTATGTCATGGAAAACATTTTTAATGATACGGCCAAGACTTGCTCGTTGGATGTAATAAATATAAGTGCTAGGCAAGAATGTTCTCGTTTTACAGGCGTAGTTGTAATATTAGGCCAGATAATTGGCAATATTTCAAAATCACAGCGGCAGCGTACGATGGACGTTGCGTCACGATCGCCGGCACTATTCCGAGGTCGTGTATGAAAAACGAGGTACAGAGGAAAAAGTGCATAAATAATCCGACTGCAGTCGCCATCACATCATGCCAATTATGCGTCCGGCATGGTCTCTGTCCGTCCGTCCCGTCCGGCGTACAAATCCGAGCCCGTTATCGCGCGCGCAGCAACGCACTCTCCACGCAGCTTGTTGCTATGGCGAATATTCTGATCCAGGCCCCAGCTGGATGATTGTCTGCGGTGCAGCGGCGGCGGCGGTCGAGCCAATCCTCCCGACTTCCCTCCCCGTGCCCGCCGGTCAACGCATCATCCATCATGTACCCACAACAGGCAAGCCGGGGCCAAGCGAAATTATAACCCATTCCATTCTCCCTCGCGCTTCATCCACGCAGCCCTGTCCTGCCGTAATGCATTTAAAATTGCAGGCATTGACGCGCCGATTCGTGTTGCTCCATCAATGTCATAATGGGAACGAGTTGATGACTGCACAGAATTCAAGCGGCGTCGAAGCCCGGCAGGCCGCGCCGCGTGTGCCTCAACAATGGTCGCATTGTGAGCGCGTTTATTTTTGGGGGCTTTCGCGATTGCAAACAGAAAATACTCGTTACCCGGCGCGCACTCCAAACTCCAACATGCAACGTTCGCTCTTGAATCGAATTTTTAATGGTGCCATGCGCCGCTTCTCACCAAAAACGTTTCAATCGACGCCGAAAGTTATTCTCGACCTCGAGAGGGTGCGATTGCCGCGAAAATCGGGGGATGGAATATGTATATTTAGGGGTGTAGAGAGTAAGTAGGTGTAGGCATGAGCAACTTTCGATTAGATTTTTTTTCATTTCCAACATTTCTATTGATTTTAAAGAGGGAAACGCTGCTGCTGTAATAATTTTCGAAATTTCAATATACGTGCTGCTCAAATAAGGTGAAGGTAGTGGTGTAGCGCCGGAAGCGTCCGCCTGGAAACCGGAAAGTCAAAAGGTTACATATTATGTTCGCACCCTAAGCGCCCCGCCAAGGAGGAAATGAAAAATCTATATATGCGCGTGTTCGTAGGGCTTGTGTGCTGCTTCCTGCTGAACTCAACTCTATTTCGTCGACCGTCGGTGGCATAATCAAATTAAAATTCAATTTCTGATCGATCACGCGTTCCTCCTGCCTCCCGCCTTCATTATGCATACAGATACGAGATAGACGTGTGAGTTTATCTTCGGGAATTGCGCATGCGTGCCGCCCATTAGTGTAAACAGGACACACTTGAAAACGTGTGGATTTGAGGCATCGGAAAATTATGGCGGTTGGGGCATCAACCCTGGGAGTGCTCACTGCGCGTGGGCAGCGGCGGCGGCGGCGGTGGTGCAAACGGTGCCGGCTGGATAGCGAGCTCGGTCAATGTCAAGGCTGAGCCATGGCTGAGTTGTAGAAACGGGGTGGAATGGCAGAACTGATGCCAGAACGTGCAGACTCTCGACTAATTATAAAAGTGCTAACTCTTTTAATTACCAGAATTGTTATTAACATTTTCTGTGACGAAGATAAAACTTATCTAATATTTTTTTTCTAAATTTTTACTTTGACAGAATAGCCTATGTTGGAGATGTCTTTTCGGACATAGAATACAGTTCAGCATAGTGTTATACCATAAGTTATACTCCACACGGGTAGATTAATGATTTCATTGACCTCCTTTTTGCTTCTCTACCAGCGCACATAAAAATATCGAAATAAAACTGCACTTCTAAACGCCTTGGTTATGCACTCCCAAACGGATTTCATTATCTAAGTCGCAGAGGCTGCCAAGGGGCCAACGCCATCATCATGTGCTATTAATATCGCCCGATATTGCGTAATAAAGCAAGAGAAACGCATGAAATGTGTCGAGTGTTAAGTTTCAGTTTCAATATACGCGCAACTGCGTAAGCAATAAAAACCGTAATAACCTTGAATCAGCGGCAAAAGCGCTTAGTCGGTAAGTTGTTGCGAATGCAAATATCAATCGATTATTGATTATACCTATCGTTTGCGGCTTACACACACGCTTGCTGGTCGTTTTCGCACTCGGTGAAATTTATGCGGCGTTTCCATCGACGCGCCGCGTACTGGTATGACCTGCGAGAAGAAAAATTGTTAAGTAAATGAATACGTATGGAAATTGAAATGTTCGAATGCGGTATATCCCGATACGGGTCGGATGAATATGGAGTGTTGGTGTTGGTGCGACGCACGAACGCACAATTTCTGTAAGCGCGAGTTAAGTGCTGATACGCTTCGCGTTTCGTTCATACCGCACGCCGGGATAGCAATAAATTTTAAGTTCATATGTCTACAATGTGTTTAAGAAAAATTGCGAAATGTTGAAAATCGATTTCTCACGTCGTATAAGTTTGCCGCATTTAAATTGCGTTTTTTGTTGTGCAATATGGCATTCTCACAATGATAATAAAATATCTATATATGCTGTAATTTGTGACTCTCTGTATGGTGTGCTGCAGCGGGAAGCTCGTTGAAAATGAAAATTTATCCGCCACGCGCGCATTTATTACATTTTATTGCAAACACCTCTTTGCAAGCAACGGATATCCAGTTGCTCGCACTGACTTCTTTTTCTGCGGCGCCCAGTGAGTTGAACTCTCGGCATCTCGCGCGGTCAATACGAGATGAGAACCAGTTCGAAACCGGTTCTTGTGCACACTTTTAATAACTGCGTGCTTTTATTCAACTTTTTGCACTTGTCAAGCTATCGAAGATTGATGGTTAGATAAGGCCCGGTGATCAGCGCGAGCTTGTTTCTGTGTGCTATGCGCTTTGTGCACTTTGTTAATTAGAAATGCAAATGCGGCGATATTTTTTCAATCGTTTAGGTATTGGTAAGTGGTTATCAATCACTTGCATTATTCGCAAAATTCCAATTTCTGCTATCATGTGCAGTTTTCGTCGTTATGAAGAACATTTGCAAATCAACAAATCAGTCTTATTAGTAAAGATCAAACGATCGTGACCTTAATTCGTTTGCACTTTTCGAAATATTTGCTTTATTCAGCTATAATTACTTATTGATATTGATTTTAATGGTGTGAAGTGTTATTAATTATGAGTTAAAGGACAATTTTGTAACTGCACATGCATTTGTGGCATTTTGGCTATTAATAGATAGGTAATTTGTGTTCGTAAATTTTAATAAATTTTGTCTATAACAAAACGTCCCAGAGATATTGCCGCATCAAAGGACGTCAATTCGCAACAGTAAATTAATTAAATTCAAATTAATTTTCGCGTTTGCGATGATTCACAAGCAAAACACATTGCACGTGCACAGTGCGGCGGTGGCGGTGGCGGCGGCGAGCACTTATGCCGACGGTTGTCGGTCTCTTGTCTCGCTTGTAAATTAAATCCCATCGCTGACTGTCTAGAGTGCCCGTACGTGCTGTGCGTCGAACGTTATTTCCAATTAGAATCCGAAACACCCTTCTGTAAATTCAAATAATCGCACGGTGCCGTTGGTCCCTCGCGTCCTGTGATAAATTATCTACAGCGTAACAGACGCACAAGAAATCAACAACATCATACCATACATGGAACATTGAAGTATTGCCATTTAATCAATTTACACACAATAAAAAATTAAAATCGTTGGTATTTTTACGATTATCTTTTGCTAAGTATTATTTTAATAGTCGCATAGCAACACTGGCAATGAAGATTTGTTACGTGACTTTGAGTGGGCAGCGCGTCGATTATGATCATTCTTTTGTAACACTGATCGTAACCAGTATCGACGGATCCACCCGCGCAATTTCCAGCATGTTAAATGTATCAACAACAGGCGGTTCGGTTAAGCAACAAGAAACGCTCAGATGTAATAAATTCAAGGTTCGCTTTCATTACGTAAAAAGCACTCAGGAATAGAGCTATGAAAAATTGTGTACCCAGATTGCATAAGATTAAATACTTATTTCCATATTATTTTTAATACCTGCTTTTTATATACAGGCAGAGATTAAAGTAGATTAAAAGTTTTCTTTTTCTTTCAATCGTGACTCCACTTAGCCTTGTTGCTTTGGCATTATCGAAACGATGTCATGCCGCATGATTTACCTTTACCTCAAGCATTAATTAAACACACTTGTTTCCTCTACCGCTAGTTTTGTCGCGGCGCCGTGAAGTCAATGAACAGACCGTTTCAAGTAGGCACAACGTGTCAATGTTATCTCGTTGAAATCATATGCATTGTTATTGCTTTTTTTTTTTAAATTTATTTATAACTGGAAATGTTCTGTGAATGTATTAATGAGTCTGGGGATTCTATTCAGATCGCGTTCGCTTACTTTTCACGTCCTCTTTCTGCCGTTCGTTCCGTTCGTCTATTGCTCCATCTGAGTGATCTTGTTAGTCGACTATTGAAATTTATTTCAACTTATTTCATATTAATAAGGTTTCATTATGAAAGAGTGAGAGTTACGCTTTCATAAATCATATTACATCGTCATGCTCCAAGACAGTTTAGCAATGTGCGTGCGCTTTGATTTATCACTCGTTTCGTTTCCTTCCTTTGTGTCAGTTTTGTGTTTTTTTGTTGTTGCTCTCGCTTTGCATTTTCTAGTGCACGCGAAAGCGGCCAAGCGCTTCTCAACGCTTGTATAATTCGTCTTTTGATTTAGAACAGCTAACGATGGAAATTGGGAGATTTTGTAATTTGTCTCAATCAAGCCGTTGTTGTCTTCAAATGCAAAAAACAGCACACTGTGTTGCTCGTAATTTACACTTTAATTACAAACGTCGCTCTAGCCGCCGTCGGCGTGCAGATTACTCGCGACGACAAATAGCGATTTTGTGTCGCTGATGTCGCACCACACTGACAACCGAATATCCCCTCGTTATATAGTTTAATTACAAATCTCCGCATGTGATTGGCGTCGAGTCGACGGTTTAAGCCCTAATAAACTGTAGATTACTTTTGGGTCATTACTGATGTGATCTAATTGTTGTTCTAGGAATCGGTGCGTTCCCGAGTGGCGATGGACTTCACTGGCTCGGTCGGCCGCATCGTCGACGATCCGAAGGAGGCGAAAGCCATCGCGGTGGCTGAGGGTTATTCGTGGAAGCGGCGCTGGCGGCCGACATGTCGGGTGCCCTCTTCGCAACAGATCGCAGGCATCGATTCGGGGGTTCACATCACACAGCCGTGGTTCCACAGCGGGATGAGTCGGGATCAGGCCACTGCGCTTGTCAACCGGCACGGCACTGTTGACGGGTAAGTTTAATTTAATCACTAGCAGTTACATTTAATCAGCGTGGATATTGCGCGTTCATGTTGTCATCGCCGCTTTATTCGTCGACTTTTAAACATTCATCGCCGCCTTCCGCTGACAACTTTGATATAATTTTCCTCCAAGCATGAGGTTTAGCGCAATATGAGCAAATGTATATTTCCGTTTAATATCTACCAAGCCACCTTTACCTAACAACCGGCTAGGCATAATTGAAACATTTATTATTCATGGGGAGTAACTTTAGCAAGCGTACGCGGCAGTTTCCAACTTTCAATTCGGCTGCTTTCCGCCGACCTCTGCCAACCAGCCAACCGCGGATTCAGATAAATATTAGGTTGACGCCGTTATTATTCTTCGCCCTCCTCTTCCCAGTTGGACGATCTCTTCAATCTCTTGACTGTTTGTTGTCAGTCGGTTCAACCCACACCTAATCTCTTCCGTGTTATTACATTTTTTGCTTTATTTCTGCATCAATCTTGCTTGTAATTGACGCGGCAAATCGGAACAAAGCATGAATAGAAAATACATAACTGAACAGCACCAGTCGCATGCGTACCGACCGATGTAGAGAAGGTATAATTCGAGACGTGAACTAGTTACCTTAAAGATAATTGCCGTGAAACTTAAAAACGTATAATTATCCTAGTCACAGTCGGCAAAGCGAGATCTCAGAGATTTCGCTTCGCACCGGCGCTTGGCTTTTATGACCGACGTATGCAGGAAAATAAAACCTCTGCCTAGTAACAGCGCGCAAATGCGACCACGAGTTTCACGAGTTTGAAGCGCGTTGGCAGTAAACTCGGTTCAATTCATTCAGCGCATTGTTAAATGAAAGAGGTGTGTTCGAATCCCGACTTTGCAAACTAAAATTTCTTTTCTACTTCTTCGTGCCTTTGCATTTGATCACGATTGAGCACATCACGCTAGTCTGCTTAAGTAATTTCTATAGGGTGATGTGGGGCGCGTGCGTACACGACTGGTGTTTATTCTAATTTAAATTTAAAATGTGTTCTGCTTTTATTACATTTCAATGTTTAAGTATATATTATATTAAGTATATTTTTGTTGTTGTAGGGTATTCTTAGTACGGGAAAGTCGATCAAATCCAGGAGCGTTCGTCCTGACGTACAAATTTGGAGGCAAAGTATACCACGCACAGATAACACCCATTTTGGACCAGGTGCGTGACGCTCACGTCTTCTCGCTGGACAGCGGCGTGACGAAGTTCTACGACTTGCTGCAGCTCGTAGAATTCTACCAGCTAAACGCCGGCTGCCTGCCGACTCGGCTCACCCATTACGTCGTCCAGAGTACAAACATCATCAACAACCCGACGAACAACACGAACGGTATCTAACGGAGCGCTCCGGATATCAGTCGACTTCATGACATTTCATACATCTAGCAAAGTAGCAACTGCAAGACAGCACAACTCAAAAGGAGAGAGATATCATTGATGAAAATAAAATTTAAGTGTGCGCCAACCAAATAAATAATTCTACGACCAGTGGATTGGTGCGCGCTAGTTACTCGTGCACTGATTTGATAGGCTAACAAATTGCAAACAAACGGACTTTTATGAAAATTGATACAACTACATAAATATTAATTATAACGCTATTGATTTTATTTTTTTACGATTTTTCTGCGAGCGATGCGAGACGGGGTGCAGCGAAGGAGATGTGACTAATGTTGAAACAGTCCAGTCAATAAAAGTAAGACGAACGTGATAATTATCGTGTACTACTGTAAATTTAATTAATAGCTAGGTACCGTGAATAGATATATTAGGAGACTGTTTATTTAATTGGAGGATTTCGCTGCGAATACGATTGATTCTTAATCGGTCTATTTAGCGCATTATTGTTATCGGTGAGAAACATTGTCCAGTAATTATGTACACAGTAATTATTACCATTCGATGGGTCAGCGCAGGAAGCAATTGAGGCGAGCTATTTCGAATGAAGTTGCGGTTGCAGAAAAAGAAGGCACCGCATTAAATGGATTATTTATTTATTACTTATTTTTATTTACCTTCTTCTCTTTGTTCTTTTGAAAAAGAAACTTCAGTATTATCTCTTCATAATATGAAAAAATAATGAAACAGGGTGTTTTTTAACAAAATAATGATTAACCATGATGACGATGATTATGAAGACGGTGTTGATCATTTGATAATCTCGAAGTGTAATTTTGTTTTTATATATATTAACCTTATTATCATTATAAGTGATTAATTAACTATTGAATTCATTTGTTTGTTTGTTCGTAATTGTAGAGCAAAGGCTGTGGATTAAACATTTGATTGTACAAGTTTTCTCGTGCGAGAGGGGAGGAAAAACGAAACAAACTGAATAATTTGATTAATTATATACATATGACGCGTATACCGACTAATTGGAGAAATTGTCCTGGCACTGAAATTCAAATCTGCAACAGGGATATCGAATAACAGACTGTCACAGCAAATCAAAGAGAAAACGCAAACGCGACAACCGAGATCTACGATTTACGATTCCAACAATTGATATTTTATAGAGAAACAATTTATACCGCGACATTAAGCTAGTCTTTGTTGCCAGGACGCTCAGAAATCGTATTAAAAATCACTATAAAGGAAGGGCACATGAAAATAAATAATCATCACTCAATACCAAATAATAATGATAGAAATTACAATTACATGTAATTATGAACGAAAAACCAAACCAACTCAAATTGCAAAGCAAAATTTATTTATATCTATGAATGTATTAAGTTGGAAACTATTTCAATAAAGCAATATGTCTTTTCTACAAAAAATGAATGAAACAAAAACCAATTTGTTCTATTTTTAATTCGATTTCTATTAAGTTGTAGTAGATGTGATAAATAATTTTAGAATTTTGTATAAAAGGAGAAAATAACTGAGAGTGCATATGTATTCTGTAGGGAACAAACCGAAAACCGACCGAATTGAATTGAATGGAATTAATGCTTAAACTGAATTCAAACTTATTTCTAAGAGAATTATTTTGTTCAAATGTAGATTTTTTAAGGTGCATTAAATTATTGTTTATGTAACACTACTAATCATAATTTATGGTCAATTTCTGATCGACATTTATTTATTCAATATTCTTTGCGCCAACATCATTTTCAGTTTGATCAGTGTAACAAAATACACTGTTGTCTCTATGCCAATTGCCTGTATAAATACATAATATGTAAGATGTATGTAAAATCTTCAATTGCTGGAAAATTTAGAATTTAGCTACAAACCACACATTAAAAATTTATTTGTTTCAAATGCATATTCAAGACATGAAAGTAAGCTGTATGTATCAAGTCCAATAAAAAGAATTAATTTATGGCAATTAAACATTTTTTTGCTTGAATTATTTTCAAATAAATTTATATTGTTTATTTGTTCCTTGTGCATATTGATTTTATCAACCATCCCATGTTTAAAATGAAATGGAAGTCCAATTTTTGCTGCGCTATCTTTTGCCGGAAAGTAAAAATTCGAAGATTCTGTGTGCCCATGCGCATTAAAACCGGCATTTGCCGCTCAACAGTGTGGCCAACTTTGGTAAATTCAAGTACCCTCCTAGTTAAATTCACACTAATTTACTGCGTTGATTACAAAATTTTGTTCTATTATATATATTGTTATAAAAGAAATTACTGTATTTTTAATGCTTATAAAGATGCAACAGCATGATTTAATTTATGATACATTTAAAAAACCTCACCATAAGTAACTAAATTTGACCTTGAGCACATATGCTACTAGGCGATTAGTATAATAAATAAATTGAAAAACAATAGTTTTACGAGAGGGTGAGTATTAATAAGAGTCAATTTAAGCTCTTTACACTCACGTTGTTAAACGATACCATAAACCATTGCAAATCAATGCAAGGTCTCGCCAGCACATCTACTGCTTTGACAAGCATATGCACTGACTAGCCATCGCTTTAATAAACAAATGCGATAATAAAGCAAGTTGTAGGTATTTAATTACATGCATCTTCAATCAACTTCATTCATGGTAATATGAACTTCATACATGGCAATGTCATATCTGAGTTATTAAACAAATTGGCAAAAAGTATTTGAATCTTTGTTTTAGTTTGACAACCAATTTTAAGAATCTGTCTTCACCTGGGTTTCCCCAGATTTCATGATGGGTAATAGTGCCACTCAACAAGATAGGTGTGACTCCTCCGACTCTGATTCACCGGATTTATCCAATTTGACACCGTTTTTGAGTAAGAATGTTACTTATATTTGATTTATGAGCGCAGAGAGGTGAATGCATATGTATACTTTTAGATATTCCACAACCACTGACTTCTTCTACTAGATCTGTGATGCAGTCATCTGATTTTAATGTCGATGCCGCAATTACATCAACTTCTCTTAACATAAAACTCATCACAACCCAGCAAAAATTGTTAATTTGTGAAAATCTTGATCAATATGAAAAGGTTAGTTTTATTGAATTTCGTTTATTGAATCTTTGATCTTGTTCAATGTGCAAGTTATTATTTATTTTTAGATCTCACTTGTTTATCTAGTGGCTAGTGATTACAAAACAGCCTCAGAAACAATGTTAAGGTTAATTAATAATGATTACATCTTTAACCAGTTTTTAACTGAGCAGTTAAAAAGTATCGACTCTACCAAAAAAATTATTGAAGCTTTATGTGTGATTCAAAACTATGAGGTGTTAAAACTACTTGATTATAAAAAATCTGAATTGCAAACAGATTTTTCTCCTTTAATTTATCACTGTGCAATTTATATTAATAAAGTGAGGAAATTGTGCTATAGAATAATGGAAAACCTCACAATGGATGAAGAGCAGGAATTACTCCAGGCAATTAAAGAAGATGTAGGGCATATGGGCATACCTTTTGCAGAATATCCTTATCTTGAAATGCAATTTGCCTACCTGTTTGAAAAGCAATATATTACTGATAATGATCTTTCAAACATAACCAATCTCTTTAAGGCTCTAGAAATGGATAAATATGTTGATATTCTTAATGCCAAAAAGAGACCATCAGCTAATATCCCAACACCAATGTCTTCTAGGCAAATGCAATCAACTGCTACTGACAAATCAACAGCTAATATGGGATCACCTAACACATCTGGAGCCACCCAGATGAGACCCAAGCAATCTGATTTAAATGAATCAGATGTGTATCCAATGGATGAAAACAACCCTGGTTTTGTTTTAATCATCGAAAATAATAATTTTTACGAAGAAGAAGACGAGCAATTTCAAGTAATAAGATTTATACAAATGTTACACCGATGTACATTTTTTACAATTTTATTTTAGGATTTAGTAATCCGAAGTAAAACGGCATTAGAAGTTCGGAAAGGCAGTGAACATGATTCAAGGCGTCTCAAAGACATTTTTGGCCGATTTGGCTTTGAGATTGAACATAAAACTGACTTAACTCATTTGCAAATGCTTGCCTTAATTAGGGAGGTTAGCCATAAAAGGGTGACTGAAAACCAGTCTAGTTTTATTCTTATAATGTTATCACACGGGCTACAAAGTAGGTTTCAGTTATTATTTAAGGTTGTGCATAAATATGTTCATACATAATTATTTTGTTTTTTAGATCAAATTATTGGATGTAACTGTGTTCCATTGAATGTAGATGACATCAAAAAAAATATAAACTCAAAGACTTTAGAAGGAAAACCTAAAATTCTAATATTCCAAGCCTGCCAAGGCAATGACATTTTGTCAGGTATGTGGTTTTAAAATAAGGAATGCCACGGCCCTTTACATTTAAGTAATTTAAATTAAGTGGGAATTTTGATTTTTCATATTGTGTTATTATTTTATAATATTTTATATTTTAGTCCAACCTGATGATATCTGCACAGACAGTCCAAGTCCTTTACTGTCCGCACAATACCCATGGCAAATGCATGTTTTAGAATTGCGATCTGCTGTGCCTGGTTTCGTGTCTTTCAGAAGCAAAACTTCCGGAAGTTTTATGATCCAAACATTGTGTGATGTTTTGGAAACTGACGATAACAAGTAAGATGACTATCAAAGCCACTAATTCAGACTCTAATTTTAATTTATATTGTGTAACTATAGGGAATCGTTCCATGATATCTGCACCAAAGTGAACCGGATTGTTAGTAAGAAATTGGTTCAATACGAGAACAACACAGTGAATATGCAACTAGTACCTTGCAGTTCAACTTTGATTTATAAATATATTCTTCCACCGTTGAAACCGGCTATGTAAACAGTGATATGTAATTGTGTGCTGTTTCTTTTTATTATTTTAAAGTAATATTTGGTAGATTGTTCAAACAGTAGGTATTTTTAATATTGTTTCGTCTCTTACACCTTCTCTTTTTCCTATGAATGCAGCTTTAATAATTTCAATTGCAGCTTCCACTGTGCGTTCGACGTCTTCCTTTTTTCCAATCAGTGGATTTACTTCTACTACATCTAATACCCTTAAACATCCGTGCTCGTTGACAGTCTCCATGATATGAATACCTTCTCGCAGGGACAACCCGCCTCTTACAGGCGTTCCAGTACTTGGTGCCTCCATGGGTTCCAATGAATCAATATCAAAACTCACATGCAACGATCGCTCACCTCGCGGGTTTATTTGATTCAACGCCATTGTGACAACAGTATCGATTCCGTACTTTTCAACATCACTAATTCCGAACGCAGTAATTCCCAGCTTGTCAATGATTAGTCGCTCATAGATGTCCACGCTTCTAAGTCCGATATAAGCAAGGTTCTTAGCTGGTATCGATTTTTGCAACCATTCGAGTGCTGGAAGTTTGGGCCAATATTTTCTTGTTTCAGTTGTCAGCAGAGAAACTGGCATACCATGCATATTTCCTGAATTAGATGTGGTGTTGATGTTTATGTCAGCATGCGCATCAATCCACAGCAATGCTACGTTGTTGAAAGCGAGCATGTGACCATGTACTGTCCCCAATGCAATGAAATGGTCTCCACCAAGGGTGCAACATACTTTACCTTCGCTCAAAATATCAAGGATAGTTTTGGACGTAGCCTTTGCCGTTTGTATGCAGGATTCAAATTGTTTGCAGTTGGTGATATTTGACACGTGTTGCACACTTGATATATTGACGTCGCCATAATCCTTCACATCAATGTTACCAAAGGTTTTCAACTTGTTTACCAGTCCCGCTTTTCGAAATGCCGCAGGTCCTTGACCTGGACCTAATTTATCTTGGCCGGATTCACACGGAATTCCAAGAATTCCTAGTTTGCAATTTTTACTTGTTGTATATTGACTATACCATCGTCGAAAACCGTGAAACAACATGTTACTCCACATGTTTTTTAGCATGAAGTGTTTACTACACAGTGCCATTTCTTATATATTCGTGGGTTTATTAAGTCGCAGATGATTGTTTGAGAGATATTTTTCCCATAAAACTAGGGTCAGCTTGATAAGATTTATTAAACAGTATGTTCTAGGCGAAATTTTTATAATCCGTACATGCTGCAAGTGCGTGTGAAATATGTTTACTGCAGTTAAATAGAAAGATTTACGCGTAAATATATTTATTACGCACACATTTTTGATTTCACTGGCTTTCTACAATTACAATTTTGTTAATAAGCCCAAATACAAGACCAAAATATTTTAAATTTATTTTAATAAGGAAAATATTTTAAAACATAGTCAAAATTCTGCGTCAATTAATTCCAAAACCACGCAAAACTGCTTTAATATATGTTGTAACGATGTATCTGTTAATATTTTAGTGCTAAGTCATTTTTGGTGAGCTTTTATTTAACAGTTTTGGAATAATATCCCTGAATCTGTTTTCAACTTAACTTGAAACCCTAAGAAAATATTAAATGCCCATTGGCAATTATACCGTTTGAAAGAACAAGCCGAATAACGGCTTTTGATTGGCACTGTTGTGCGTCGATATTGCGCCCAGTAACAACCAAAAATTGATACTTTTGGTTATAAAGTCAAAATTAATGAAATTATTACTTTATTAATTAATCTATGTAACATTTCAGTCAATCATTGTTGCGTCGTCCATAATAATATAATAACTACATTTATTTTGATTGCATTTAAACAATTATTGCGTGTATCTTTTAAACCTTAAATCAAATTATAGATAAGTTAATGTATACTCATATCATAAATAGAATGAATATGATGTACGGCTTGGCCGTCCGTATATAAAGTACCACGTTTTGGGTCTAAATACCCTGGATAAACTGGCGTTTTATAGGTGGAAGTAGAAAAACCATATTTTTGTCGCGTTCAGCGAACGTATCGCACAATACTGATAGTGACCTCGTGTTGCTGCTGTTGGCTGTGTGCAGTTCGCTGCACACGCAGTTCAATTCCGTCCATCGATTGGGACGCGCGTCTTCATCGTGACTAGTCCTGGCCCTCCAGGTCATAATTAAGTAAATTGATTTATATTCGTTAAGCAATCGACGATATATATTAGAAACGGACGTGACCGGGATTTTACAAGTGTGATTGTCCCCGCGTGTGTATCTGTTGATACACACATTGATATCGGGGATTACTTTACGGTTCTGTGCGGCGCGCGTGTATCCGTCGGCAATCGGTTATGTTTTCGCACATAAGAATAGCTTGGATTTATAATTAATTCGTGCAAGTAGACTGGATTTTAATTCTATTTGCTTCAGGTGATAGAAGAAGAGTTCTTTAATCGTATGAACTACATTCAGTCTCAGTAACCATAAATGGTCAGAAAGTACTTTTAAATCACTTTTAAACATCAGCAATTTTTGTCTTTTTTGGAAAGTTGCTGTGGAAAATGGTCTGTATCTCGTGTTTCCTTGACACGATTTTAATTCAGTTTACTTCAGGTGATAGAGGAAGAGTTATATAATGGCCTGAACTGCATTCAGACACCCTCAAGGGTCGCGAAGTGCCCTTAAATCACTCTCAAACTTCAGCAATTTTTGTCATTTTTGAAAAGTTGTGGGAGAAAATGGTTTGTATCTTGCATCTCCTCTACTGGATTTTAATTATCTTTTCTTTAGGTGCTAGAAGAAAAGATCTTTAATGGTATGAACTATATTCAATCACCATCAAGGGTCAGGAAGTGCCCTTAAATCACTCTCAACCTTCAGCAATTTTTGTCTTTTTTGAAAAGTTGTGGTGGAAAATGGTTTGTATCTCGTATTTCCTTCACTCGATTTTAATTCTGTTTACTTCAGGTGATAGAGAAAGAGTGTTTTAATGGTATGAACTGCATTCAGACACCATCAAAGGTCGGGAAGTGATTTTAAATCACTCTCAAACTTCAGCAATAATTGTCATTTTTGAAAAGTTGTGGTGGAAAATGGTTTGTATCTCGCGTTTCCTTGACTGGAGTTTAATTCTCTTTTCTTCAGGTGATAGAAGAAGAGTTCTTTGATCGTATGACCTATATTCAGTCACCATCAAGGGTCGGGAAATCCCCTTAAATACCTCACAAACTTCAACAATTTTTGTCATTTTTGAAAAGTTGTGGTGGAAAATGGTCGGTATTTCGAATTTCCTTGCTTGGGTTTTAATTCTGTTTACTTCAGGTGATAGGGAAAGAGTGTTTTAATGGTATGAACTGCATTCAGACACCATCAAAGGTCGGGAAGTGATTTTAAATCACTCTCAAACTTCAGCAATAATTGTCATTTTTGAAATGTTGCAGTGGAAAATGGACTGAATCTCGCGTTTCCTTGACTAGGTTTTAATTCTGTTTGCATCAGGAGATAGAAGAAGAGTTTCCTAATTGTATGAGCTACATTCAGTCACCCTCAAGGGTCGGAAAGTGCCCTTAAATCACTCTCAAACTTCAGCAAGTTTTGTCATTTTTTGAAGAGTTGCTGTGGAAAATGGTCTGTATTCCGTGTTTCCTTGACTGGATTTTAATTCTGTTTTCATCAGGTGATAGAAGAAGAATTCTTTAATCGTATGAACTATATTCAGTCACCATCAAGGGTCGGGAAATGCCCTTAACTCACTCTCCAACTTTAGCAATTTTTGTAATTTTTGAAAAGTTGCGATGGAAAATATTCTGTATCTCGCGCTTCCTTGACTGGATTTTAATTCTGTTCGCTGCATGTGATAGAGGAAGAGTTCTTTAATGGTACGAACTGCATTCAGTCACCCTCAAGGGTCGGGAAGTGCTCTTATAATACTTTCAAACTACAGCAATTTTTGTTATTTTTGAAAAGTTGTTGTGGAAAATGGTCCGTACCTCGCGTTTTCTTGACTGGATTTTAATTCTGTTTGCTTCAGGTAATAGAGGAAGAGTTCTTTAATGGTATGAACTATATTCAGTCATCGTGTAGGGTCGGGAAGTGCCCATAAATCACTCTCAAATTTCTCGCAATTCTCACGTTTTCCTGACTAATATTTTTTATTATCTGGAAGTATTAAAGCAATCTCCAATTATTTTTGTCATCTTCAAAATATTTTGGCCTTTGTCCGTCGGCATTCAGTTATCGTTTCGCATCGAAGAATAACTTGGATATATAATTAAATCCAGCAAATGAACAACTTTGATGCCCAGACTAGAAGTTTGTGAATGCATGAATGGAGTTGGCAATATCTATAGGTGAAATGGTGGAGATGCGAGTATTTCAAGGCAAGTTTTTACTACTTCCTAATTTGCTAGCTGACGATATTTTCCTATTAAAAAAAATGTATCTAATGTTGTCAATAAAACGCAATGTAAAATTATAGTTGTATGCATATTTCTTTGTGGTATGCCCTTGGTCGTTTTCAGTATTGACGTCTTAAGTTATATTGCATATAAATCTTATGCGCGTAGATTGAGTGGCCTGCGGCTTGTGTTGTTGTTTTTAAAGAGTTGAATAAAGTAAATACATAAATAGAAGAATCAAATATAAATGGTAAACTCACTCGGTGGTCGAGTGGGTACGTGCACCTGCTAGCATGCTGGCAGACACGGATCGAATCTCAGCTATGGAAGGCATTTTTCTCAAATATAAAAATATCAGGTAAAATTTGGGTTGCATATATGAATTGCAACGAAATATAAGAAAAATTGAAATACAAGTGGAGGCAATAAAAGAAGTATGAAAATAAATGGAGAACGGGAGAACAGAGAAATAGGAGAATGAGGGTAGCTAGAGAATAGGAGAAGATAGAAGGAAGAGAACAGAGAGTAAGTAGACTAGAGAAGAGAAGAGAGGTGGAAATAGAAGAAAGAGAACAGGGAAGGATCAGATTTTTAAATTTTTTGGCGCGTGTCGTTAGATCGCACACTGCTTCAATGTGTCCATTGCTCCCGGCCCATCCTACAGCTACGATGTCTCTGCGCTTCATCCCCGAAATACTCAGGCATATCAACAATTTTCATGGTGGGGGATCACCCCCAGAGAGAGGGAACTCCTTATAAGGACAATCCTTATAAGGTCTTGTTCAAATATTTCTAAATTTTAAGTCGGCTCAAGAGAGGCGACACTTAAAAATATTCTTACAAGTTCTGACCTGTAGCTGAAATGAAAGAAGGAGCACACAAGTCGCACAGGATACCTTAACAAATTTTATAGTGGGGATCATCCCCTGAGAGAGGGAACTCTCTTAGAGACCTGTTCCTGAAATGATAGAAGGGGTACACAAATCCAAGAAGTAAATATATCTTACTATTTATTTATTAACAACAGAATACAAGTTTATATTTTACAAGTCAACAGAATACATGTCGCCATATTGAAACAGGACTTACGACCTGCATAGCCGCGCACATGCCAGCAAGTACTACTTCATAAAGTATTACCGGCATAATGAAATTGGTAAATAGCCGCCAATTTTCTACGTGAAATGAAAATGTAAACAAATATACAGGGTGTTACAAAATAAAATTTTATGTACAAATAAAAAACTATAAACACTACAAACATCGCTCGTTTTCCCTCGACAATTGGGGAGAGTAATATACAAGATGTTTTAGAAAGAAAATTCAAAGCGCAAAGAGAAAAACCCTAAAAACAACTAATTGAAGCAAATTTTCACGGACACAAAGGAAAATGAATACACAGGGTGTACCAAAAAGAAAATTTCAAGTTCAAAACAGAGAACACTCAATACTCACCAATAAAGAGGATTTTCTACGTGCGGTTAGGAAAACTAATATACAGGGTGTTGCAAAAATTAGCAACTACACACTGAGTTAATATTCACAACATGAAGAGGGAAATTTACAAAGAAACAACAATTTCTAAATATAAACTCCCCAAAATTCATCGGGAAATTGAGCAAAAAGGTGCTATAAAAATAATACACATTTTAATATACCTATTGTATTTAAATGTATTATTTGATGATAATATCTACTGCATAAGATAACCGACGGGTGAAGCACCATCATAACTTGATAGAATATCCGGCGGAAAACATCCATATCAGCAGGCGACAAGCGACGGCGCGTAACAAAATAGTCGTTAAATACTTAA